ATGATGATGATGATGATGATGATGATGATGATGACAATGGTGATGACAATGATGATGATGATGATGATGATGATGATGACAATGATGATGACAATGATGATGATGATGATGATGATGATGATGGTGATGATGACGACCATGATGACAATGATGATGAAGATGACCATGACCATGTGACAATGACAATGATGATGATGGTGATGATGACCATAATGAAGATAATGATCACACCCACGATGATGATGATGATGATGATGATGATGAAGATGACCATGATGATGATGATGATGAAGATGACCATGACCATATGACAATGATGATGATGATGACGACCGTGATGAAGACAATGAAGACAACCATGCCCACGACAATGATGAAGATGACCATGATGACAATGATGATGATGGTGATGATGATCATGATGATGATGACCACACCCATGATGATGATGATGATGATGATGATGATGATGATGATGATGAAGATGACCATGAAGATGCCCATGATGATGATGATGATGAAGATGACCATGATGATGATGATGATGAAGATGACCATGACCATATGACAATGATGATGATGATGACGACCGTGATGAAGACAATGAAGACAACCATGCCCACGACAATGATGAAGATGACCATGATGACAATGATGATGATGGTGATGATGATGATCATGATGAAGATGATGGCCACACCCATGATGATGATGATGATGACCATGAAGATGTCCATGATGATGATGATGATGATGATGAAGATGACCATGATGATGATGATGATGATGATGATGATGAAGATGACCATGATGATGATGATGATGATGATGATGATGAAGATGACCATGATGATGATGATGATGATGATGATGATGAAGATGACCATGATGATGATGATGATGATGATGATGATGAAGATGACCATGATGATGATGATGATGATGATGATGATGAAGATGACCATGAAGATGCCCATGATGATGATGATGATGATGGTGACCATGACCATGATGACAATGACGATGGTGATGATGACCATGATGACGATGATGAAGACGACCATGAAGATGACCATGACCATGACGACAATGACGACGATGATGATGACAACCATGATGAAGATACCGAAGACAACCACGCCCACAACGATGACGAAGACGCCCACAACAACAACCCACAACAACAACCCACAACAACAACCCACAACAACACCCCCACCCCTCACACCACCGTCCCATCGCTCTCCTCCGTGGTCCCCCCGCTCCGCCCCCGGCTCTCGGTGGTGGCCCCGCCCTCATCGCTCAGCACCGCCCTCAACAACGCCCTCCACGATCTCCTCACCCGGCCCAGGCCCCGCCCCATCACCAGGTAGATGATGGGGTTCACGCACCCGTTGACGTACGCCAACCCCGCCACCGCCGGATCGGCCGCCTGTGCGCCGCGGAACGCCGCCGCGCCCGGCGCCGCCGCCGCCAGCACCAAACCCACCACGTGGTACGGCAACCAACACACGAAGAAGCTGATGATGACCACCAACACCGTCCTGGTGGCTTTCTGCGACCTCCCCAACCCTCGTTCCCGCACGCGCAGCAACAGGCGGCCGTAACAACCGGAGATAACGGCGAAAGGCCCCAAGAAACCGCAGAGGAACCGAAGAACGGCCGTTCCCACCTCGGCGCCGCGCCGGTGCCCGTAGGACAACACGCAGGTGGTTTTGGCCGAGAACGGATCCGACCTCACCTGGCGGAACGCGAACGACGGCGCCGTCAACGCCGCCGCCGCCGCCCAGGCGCCGGCGCAAACTGCCGCCGCCAAAACGGGCGTCCGGTGGTTGTGACACCAAACGGGCCGGGCCACCAGAGCCCAACGGTCGGCGCTGATGGCCGTCAGGAGGAGAACGCTGGAGAACATGGCCAGCACGGTGAGGGACGGCAACGCCTTGCAGGCGGCGCGGCCCAAGGGCCAGTGGTGGTCGGTGGTCAGCGGCAAGGCCAGGAAGGGCAAGGCCAAGCAGCTGAGAAGATCGGCCAGGGCCAGGTTGGAGAACCAGACGCCGTTGACGGCCGAGCGGAGCTCGGACGCCGTCACCCAAAGCACGGCGGCGTTGCCGGGGACGCCCAGGAGGAAAATGGCGGCGTAAAGGACCAAGACCCAACGGTGGCCGGCGGGGATTTGGGTGGAGTCGAGGTCGTAGAGGTCGTAGAGGTCGTAGTCGTTCTTCCAGGTGTTGTTCCAGGTGTTGTTCCAGGTGTTGTTCCAGGTGTTGTTGTCATTCCAGGCGTCGCTCCAGGTGAGGTCCCAAAGGGGGGAGGGGTCCATGGTGAGGTCGCGGATACCTGGGGAGGGGGGAGAGGGTTGGAGGTGGGGTGGGGGTGGGGGGGGGGGGGC